CTAGTATCACAATAACATATCATGATAGCCTCTACAATGAAGACACTTTCTGCACAGCCAAAAAACTTCATCTAGCTTTTGACCAAGCTGGGTATGCACACCTTGGAAGAAATAGCCAAAGCACAATGCATTTCGCAGCTTGAATGCGTGTCAACCACTACCATAAGAAAACAAATTATAAACAAACTTGGCACAATTTACCACCAGCATGGCCAGAAAATTTATATCTCAACAAAAATTGGAAACGCAGTTGCAGTGGCCAGTATTCATGGACACGTGCACCTCGACTACAACAGAGGCCGACGAAAGGCCAAAGCGGAGGCTTTGCATTGTTTTTTTGGCAGGGAGAGAAATGCATGCTTTGTTGACGTGACCGAGTATTGTAATTGTGACAAGGGTCACAATTACAATGCCATAATAATAGACAGGTTTCAAAGCTGAAATTACATGCAGCATACGCATGAAACATTTGGAAATAGCAGAGGAAGTAGCCATATTGTTGCGGGAAGAAAACAGGCACACGAGTGCAGAGTTGGTGTTTAGACAGCATTTGTAGTGATTGCACAGGTGGTAATCAGTCAGGTCAATTTCCTCCAATCCAGGCGAGCTTTCTCGTTCTATTTAGTGCAATATCATCCTCTCGGCAAGCGTAGCTCCATCCCGGTACAAATCGTGGAGCATTAGTTAAGGCGAAGTATATATGGTGCCTGGGGACATGAACGTCACTGTTGACGTGACCTAGCAAAAACACGTCAGCTGATACTATTTCGTATACCACATCACCAAATTGGCGTAAGGTCTTGTACGGACCAGAATAACAAGAGAGTAGTTTTTAAGCCGAGCTAACACGGCGCGAGGGCGTCCAGAGCAGTACAAGAGAACTAAGAGGCAATTGTGTCTTGGTGCTGATAATCGTAGCATCGCTTTTGAGAAGGTTGCGACGTTTCGAGGTCTTGACGAGCGACCTCTCGGGCATGGACGACCAAAGTGATTGCATCGTGGGCATAATTGATTGCTGAGAATATAACACCAGATAGTAGAAATGTGCCGAACGGCAAGACAGGGCCGCAGCTATACAAAAAATAAAATGGGGAAATCCAGCGGTTTCGTGACTGGACGAATTGTAAACAAAATGATCGTACAATAAAGCGGTGGACAAAGTCATGGTGAATGTCAGAAACGTACATGGACAGCATGTCAGTTAGGAGTGTTGTTTAGTCGCTCGGTGAGCCCCTTCGTTTAATGGTGGTATGCGGTAGCAATCTTGTGTTCAGAAGCTCAAAAGCGGAAAGGGCTATCGTCGACCTTTGACAATAAATAACGGGTGTCGCGAGTGAGCATTGCAGGTAGAGGTGCGTTCAGTGTGAGATGAGGGCGGGTGTACAAAAGTCGATTTGGCCCCTGCGCGCGAAGCAATTAGAAGTGGCATAGTAAAGTCTTGCAGACCACCCATCGACAAGCAACGGCTTTGATGGCGCTTTCCCGGGCGTGCACAGCACTGGCGCCGATGTTGGTACATGGGTGTCCTGACTTGAGCGTATTTGAATATGAGTGGACTTGACCACTTACGTTGGCAGTGGGTAAGTAGCATTTCACACGTTTGGTAGAAGTGAGTGACGTATGTGGCTTGTAAATGGGTGTGGCTACATTTCAGTTACTCGCCAGCTGGCCCACGGTTTCCGTCAAGAACTCAGGAGGAGGCATGTCATGTGATCCAGCAGATGTGAATTCTGGAGGAGGCTCAGTGGGCGTGCCTTGACTTGGGGAAGCACCTTCAGTAGTCGGTGCACGTGGGTTCGTGCGCAGGTCGGTATGGAGACGGGTGCCTGTATGGCAGGCGTGAGATGTGAGGTCTGCAGTGACATAGGCGGACCAGTCACGTCGTCCTCAGGAGCGTCGGTCATACTCGCAGCGTCTCGGAAGTTTGGCCATGGTCGATGGCTGGTGCCTTTAACTTCGGCTGCGGGAGACTGTGAGGGCGATGCTGGTCGCTGCTGGCAGGACGCCCAGAGCGTTGAGGCTGGTAGAGAGTCCCCTTCGGACATTGGGGATGGTGAAGGGTCCGCAACCGGGAGGTGAATAGCGAGTGAAAGGATGTCTGCGCTAGACTCCGAGGCGTGCGGCCAGGTAGCCGTCGTAGAGTCGGATGGGGCCACGGTGTCGTGTGTCGTCGATGTCGCGGAAGACGTGCATGTGGCAGGCACGTGCGACGAAGCTGCGCATGGAGGCTCCGAGGGAATGTACCTCTCGGAGAGGAAATAAGTCGCAGTGGGGGCGTCTTCTACCTTGTGGTCATGGTCAGATGCAGGAGTGGATGTTTCTGCGACCGGATCAGGGATAGAAGTAGTCGAAGCTGGGGTACCGAGGTAGCATTCAATGGAGGGCTGCGGACCGGTTCGTAGCTTGTTCTGCGACGCCTGGGAAACCTGCCAGGTTTCCCAGGCACATTGACCACTTTAAGCGCTACCTAGTTTCCGGAAGTGAAGCGGCCTGTGGCTGGGGACAAAGAGTGGTGCATGAGCGGCGAACGTGTCCGATGCCCTGGCAAAGACGGGGAGTGGTAAGATTTTGGCGGGATATTGATCTGGACGATAGTGGTCTGGTTCGGCGTGTAGGGCGAGAAGGTATGATCATCGAGCAGCAGGTGGTTGCGACTGGCATAACCGTTGACGCTTGGTTTGCCATTGTCCCTGACTAAGACATTGGCTGCCGGTTTTCCAGGGTGGCGGCAAGCACATGACGTTTACTGCAAAGCTTCATCATGGTACCCAGCACCTCCACCAAATTTTGCGGGAAGAGTGCAGAGGCACAGGAGTGCATAGTTGGTATATTGACAGTAATTTTAGCAGTTGTCCAGGGGGTGACGAGTCGCGTGATCTTCTTCCAATCTGAGCGAGCTTCTTCGTTCTCTTGATTGCAACAATATTCCACTGGCCCTAAAAACCCAGGTATGCAAAGTTGTCTAATGCAAATCCGAAACAGCAATAAAAAAAGTACGCTAAAAGCACGATTCCCAGGGAAGCCTTGGCCATTCTGGCAAAAGCGGGCAGATCCCCAAACGTGAGCTCGACCATCCTGTAGTTCCCCACTCACATCACCACAGAACGTGATATCCTCCCGAATAAAAACGAGACTACACACTTGATGGCCAGAGACATGCTGCGCTGAACACGGACATGCCTCTCGTACAATAAGGAACATACCTCATGTATAAGGATAGGATCACTAATTATAATGAAAAAAACAAAAGCATATATTAACACAAGAAAGATATTCCCACCGCTTAGTCCCAAACTAAACAGCAGACAGGCCATTTTCTGGGGACAGCTCTGGATGAACAACCTCCCTAACCGAGTCGGTCTAGGATGGATATATTCGAAAAACCATCAGGACGACACGTAAAATTCGTACCAGAAAGGACGTGCAACACTCTAACACAGGTTATAGGGTTGTAGTTATGTTGCCAGAATGCTTGCAGTTACTCTGGAGACCTTTTCGTTGAGGTTGGCTACTGCTCTGCACATCTCAAACTTTGGCGTCTAAATGTGAGCAGTCCACCAAGCTCATGAGGCGGCTTTGAGGCAAGGCTTTGACGTTTCCCCGTGCGAGACCAAGCCGATATTGCATTAAACCTTGATAGACATTCGATAAAGTTGTATCCATAATGAAAAAATTGGAAGCGCAAACCAACGGGACACAAGAAAAGAGACAAACAAGCCCGTCGGTTCGCGCTTCCAATTTTTTCATTATGAATTTGTACTAACTAGCCCGCCTGTGAACCCTTCTGAATGTTGTATCCTTTGAAACATGAAGTGAGAGAAAGAGGCAACATCTGAATTTCGAGCTTGTGCCCTATAGCTAAAATGTCTCAGCCTGAAATAAAATCAGGGAAACAACAAATTCAACAATGAAGAGGAGGCTGTCACTCAATGCAAGCATATATGCACCTGCAGGCATCATATGAGGTCTGTTAGAAAAGTATCCGGCCTTTGGTGGAACAGCAAAAACGGGCATTATTGGAGCTATGGCGAAACCCGAGATGCCCGTGTATTTAGATTTAGGTGCATGTTTAAGATCACCACATGGAGAGAATTTCTGGAGCTCTCAACTAAGGTGTCTCCCACAATCATATTGTGGTTTCGGGACATAAAAACTCTACAAATATTATTACATTACACCCACCTACCTTTCTCTGCAGTGCTATTCAAGTGATTTTATGACTTCTGTATTATATTACTACGCTGCTATTTTTTCTACTTCAACTCTTTCCAAAATGTAGAAGAATGTATTCCTCTTCAACTGTAGTGGCTGGTCTCTGTTGCACGGAAGATGACTTGACAAATGCTAAAACTACATGTTTTGACAACTGACACTAGCAGATGTTTGTGTGTATTGCCTTCCTTTATCGATTTTTTTTATAAAGCGCATGGACATTCAGGTGCTAAATAAAAATGAAACTTCAACCTTAATTTTTTCCACGAATAATTAATTTCTAACTGTGAAACATGGGGTTAGAGTTCTCAGTGTGCAGTTTGTCAACCTAAAACCAAGTCATTGTGTCTCTTTAATGTTCGTTTCAAGGAGCCATGACAAGCAATTTTCATAATCTGTAGTATAAAAGTTGGTCCCTTGCTGTTGACAGATGAGCTGGTGAAATTTCAGCACATTTGGTTGAAGATTTAATTTATAATGAGGATTTTTATAAACACGCATGTGGCCCGGTAGCCTCACAACAGTACTTGTGAACCATGACATAATAAGCCACTTGCTTTGTGAGCGTCTCTACTCCGTCCAACAACTGTTTCATGGTCAGGTGCGGTACAATGAAGCTACTTCAACTTTTGTATGCCTTGGAATTGAAAAATTGAAGAATTTGCACAGGCTGAAGTTCGGGAGAAGACAGATCTCCTGCATTAAACACACGACGTCCCACACCCCATGGCAACGTAAAGGTAGCTGGCAATGAGTGGAGTTTATAGCTGGAGACTTCTATAGCTGACTTAGCAATTAGATATTATTTTTTTAATATGTTTTTTTACATATACAGGCACAATAGACGCTCTACAACTTTAAGCTGAGAACAGCAGTATGGATGGTGACCTTGTCATGGCCCCGAATAAGTACTTAGTTATGTCGGACTTAGCTACATGGAGGTTTAAACGGATACATCTACTTATTTATTATTAACTTTATGATTTCAAGCTGCGCTTGTTGATAGGCCCTGTTGTGCCTACGCTCCTCAGCTAGCGCCTCTAGCTCCTGCCGCCTGAGCTTGAATTTTGCCTCCTGCTCCGCCTGCCTCTGTTGAAGCTCCATTTCTTTCAGCTTCATTTTCTGCTGATGGCGCTTTATCTCGAACCGCAGCCGGTCCTCTTCAAGTTGGAGGCGGCAGTTCTCGATTGCAGTGTCCCGATCATAAAGGGCCTCAATGAGGGCATATGTTGCCTCAACGTGCCGCTGTGGACCTGCACAAATTTACAAGGAACAGTTACTCTCTTAGGTTCAAATGAATAAGTGCAACAGTTTACAAAGCACCATGATATTCTACTGAGCACACATGGTTCTTCTTAACACAGTAGACTCTCAGTAAACTGAAATCTATTAAAGGGAATTGTTGCTTAAATGAAACAACTTCATTCAACACGGTTGCTTTCGTACTTAAATTCTCCACTTTTTTTATCTCGGAATTACTGTTAAAAGGAAAACATTTTCTAGTCTTTTCACATTCCATTTAACGAGAGTCTAGTGCTCTGTACACACAAAATTGCTTGCAACAAAATGTTTAGAATACTTAAAAGAGTATTGGGAGAAATCTTATAAGTTGTTTCTATGCATCAAATGAAAGGTCAAGCCCTCAAAACCAAGAAAATTCACTTATAAACTTGACTACACTTTAAAAAGCAAATGTGACACATTTTTAAAAAGCTGGTTTTGTTTCATATACTGTATACTGACGTCAAGGCACACTGTAGCCAGATGAGTTAGCGACATGCTCACGCTAGATATGGTGATATGGTGACATTACACGGACGTTCCATCATCTATTGCTATACACATGTGGGTCAAAGAAGGACCAAGTGTTGTTCTGGCTGGCATCCAGTTACTGCACACTTGTAGCACCCAATAGTGAACGAATCTATAGAACCTGTATCTATTGCGGCCTGTTTTGCTACTGAACTTGTAATGGGAACTCGTTCCGAAATTTGGAAGGAACGAGGTTCTGTTACTGTTTTACAGGAACGTTTCCAACACTGCACACACATTATGGGCACATGAACAATCAGGAAAAGAACAGATTGGAGATAACATTAATTTTTTAATTTGGGTCTAACTCGCACAAGTGGCCGCCTCAGAAAACAAGAAAAAAGTTTAGATAACCCGCGATAAGCAAAGGTGACTAAAACTCCTTCGTTTATTTTCTACTTCAATTAAAAAAATAGATAACCCACGTTTTGCCCCTTTGCTGTAATAAAGCATAGACATGTCATTGCTTACGTAGCGGCCGCGTGAACCAATCAGCACCCGAAGCAGCGGTTCTGGTCTGGTTTCCTCTAAACCTTTCTTTCCGACGGTTCCATTCATTCATGTGAAGCACGAACTGCTCCCAGGAGTCACCCGCGAACACAGGTCGTTGCGTCGCATGCGTGGGCTGCAGATAGTATTCACCATGGCGCAGTCCCGATGGTCTCGCGGATTGCTCCAACGGCAGGCGGCCCGACAGAAACTTGCTCTCTTCACCGGGGTTCGCCGATAACAGTGGGCCCACGCCAGCCGACTGTGGTACGGACGCTGTGCTGTCGTCGGAATCTGGGTCTCCGGGTCTTGTCCACCGGGACGAAGAAAACTGGCTACCATAAGTATACTCCGTCGTCTCAACAGGGATGACCCAACGAGCTCTATGCTCGCCGAGGGTAGCCACGCCACGCATACACTCTAGATATGGTGGAGGTGCTTGGTTATCTCTCGAAGAATGCGGCGAAAGCGGAGGCCCAACGCCGTCGTCTCTGAAGCTCTCGTGTTTCGAAGTTCCTGCATCACCTGCACGATCGGAAGTTTTCAATCAAAATACTTTATCGCACCAATGTTTCTTATTACGCTAAAATGGCTAGCTCATCGCTGCGAGACCACGAGTTTGATTCGCCGGCGTATAGGAGGGTTGCACAGGGACGTGGCCCATGAGATGGCACCAGGATCGAAGAGGCAGCGCATTCACGTTTGTGGTCTCTCTCTCCCGGCCGCCCCAGGCAAGCAGTCGCAGAACGTACTCTAACTAGTATGTAGGTGTTCCGTGGTACACTCACGGGTGCGCGTCCGTGCGAGATTCCTGTGGTAATAATGATGAACAGTGCCGTATTTCGTTGCTACAACCACTCCAGTAAGAAGGCTGGCTATGAGAATGCGTCTGATGTCGGCTTTTTTTCCATACCTAAAATGATTGCAAACCAATCGAAAAGGTTTGGATGGCTCAGCCACACATATACTACGTCTGCGCTAAACATTTAATTTCATTTTCGGTAAGTGTTCAGAGCATATGCGACATCGTAGAGGTTCGCTTTTGTGGTGAAAAACTTCTGCTTTCGCGACGTGCTATGAAGCTTTGTTTACGTAGCAGTAGACAAGCGCACGCACTACGACCACGATTGCCGCTTATCAGCGGCATCATTCAGGTAGGTGCAGTGTGTTACTGATTTCAGTGTGTTAGTAAACGGTCAGCGACGCGGTGCGCTCTCGTTTACCCATGCATTGACGAGCCGAGAAAATAAACATTGATATCACATTAACGTTGATCAGTTACAATCGAGACCATATGTGATCTCTAGTTGCGCAAATGCCCGATGTGCGTCTTTGGACACTGAAGCAAAGATCAATTTTGATCGCAAGCGGCTTGGGCTCAAGCACGAACGGACTATGCCAATTGTATCACCTCACATGCTCTTGCAAATGATGAAGCCCTTCCACACAAAGAATTCATAAAGCGACACCATCGCGGTGAAAAAAAAATTATTCGTGCGAGCACAGAGCAAAGGGAACCAGTCAAGTTTCCAACGACAATGCGGCAGCCGTCTCCGAGGTCTCCAATTCGCTGCTGTTAAACCCATCCGCTATTCACATAGTTGTGGTCGTCAATCAATTTATAGGCATTAAGCTCATCTCTTGTTGCAAAGCTTGGGCCGCCAAAAAGTGGTCCTTAATGTCCGTGAGCTCGATGCGGGAATAACACTTCACATCACACAAAGTTTCATCGCTGCTGAAGTCGAACGGGTCGATATCTGCCGCAAAGGTGAACCTTATGTTCGTAGCGAAGTTTCGCCGAACCTCGGAAGTCACGCGTGTAAGGACTCAGTCGAATTTCACCACGTTGGTACCGCACGTAGCAATACGCACACAACCTCTCACTGGCGCTCGCCGCTTCAAAAAGGGCGCGCCCAGACCATACTGACATGGCGCTAAGGGCAAACGCCGCTAGTGCCTCAAGCGAATGACGTCACATGCAACCCTCCTCTACACTGCAGCCACAACTGCCTTTAGGCCGAACACTATTATACCCCTGTCATACGGCCACCCTTACCCAAACGAAGGTAAACGGAGCGTTTCGCAAAAGACGTTCAACGATCTCCTTTCGCAGCGAAACGAGGTACTCTCGTCCCCAGCAGTCTAGAGGTCAGAGAAAAATTTCGAGCACTAAGTGGCCGCAGTGAAAGAATAATACATTTTGGCAATCTTAAACGTTCTTTTGTTGTAGTACTCATTCACAACGCGTGTTTGTTTACATATATTTGCGCCCGCCAGAGTTCACTTACCCTCAACACCGATGCTCCACACTCCGTGCCTCGCACGTGGGGCCTCGCGAGTCGGGCCGGCCGGCGCCATTGAAAAATATTTCGTCCATGTGTGTGGTTGTGGTCGTCGCTGTGTCACTCATGGCTGAAGAACACAAACTGTGCACTCACGAGGCAAGGAAGCACAAGAACTTTCGTACACAAACATGAACACAGGCAACAAAACAACTAAAAGCACAATGTGGCCAGTGTCACTAGCAGCATTGCTACATTTAGCGAATTCGTTTTTATTTGAAAATATTTTTATGGTTTGTTAGCCTTTTACCTCCTTAATAGTGTTTTTTTGTAAAAACCCCAGAACGAGGATTCACAAAAAAAATCAATAGAGATGAAATTAGAATACTTTTCCGAAAATCAAACAGCGCCAGCTGAGCCCCCTCGCGCCAACTGTGACAACCTTTTTATTGCCGTGTGACCCTGCCACAACTCCTTCTCCGTCGAACCACCTAGGGGAGATTTACGTTGACGGTGTTCAACGGAGTTTAGTGGTGGCCGCGTGACAGGGGTATTATACTCATGTCACACGGCCACCACCAAACTCCGTTGAACACCGTCAACGTGATTGATTGATTTTTTGTGACTCCTCGTTATGCATTTTTTACAAAAAAGCACTTTAAAGTAGGTATGCGACTAACAAACCATTAAAAATAATTTCAAATAAAAACGCATTTGCTAAATGTAGAGATGCTGCTAGTGATGCTGGCCCCATTGTGCTTTTAGTTGTTTTGTTGCCTGTGTACATGCCCGGTACGAAAGTTCTTATGCGTCCTTGCCTCGTGAGCGCACATTTTGTGTTCTCGCGCCATGAATGACAAAGCAGACGAAGTGAGGAAGTGGTGCGATATTGCGCTGGTAATGACGTTGATCGGCTGGCGCCGGCCGGCCCGACTCGCGAGGCACGGTGTGTAGGGCATCGGTGCTAAGAGTAAGTGAACTCTGGCGGGCGTAAATATTGTAAACAAACACGCGTTGTGAATGAGTACTACAACAAAAGAACGTTTAATATTGCTAAAATGTATTATTCTTTCACTGCGGCCACTTAGTGCTCAAAATTTTTCTCTGACCTCTAGACTGCTGAGGACGAGAGTACCTCGTTTCGCTGCGAAGGGAGGTCGTTGAACGTCCTTTGCGAAATGCTCCGTTCACCTTCGTTTGCGTAAGGGTGGCCGTGTGACACGAACCGCATCTTCGTTGTCGTAAAGACGAGGGAGTTAAACAGCCTTCACGGGTGCCTGTTTGACAGGGGTATTAGCAAGGCTCGTGTCTCGTTCCTAAACAATTCGCGGGTGCCTGTGTGATACCGCGTACGAGCCACCACCGACAATAAACGCCGAGTCGTTCTCCTCACTTATGCTGATAATGAGAGTGTGACAAAACACATGGCTGCATGGCTGACAACGATGCCGATCGCTGCTCTTGATGTACAGCACAGTCAGCTGTTAAAGGAAATGCTTGAATGAGCACTTTTCGCATTACTGTCACCTATGAAAAAACATTGCGCGTGAAACCATGGTATTCAATGTGATTCAAACTAGTCAACCAGCAGCAGTCATAGAAATCTAAACCAGTGTGCTTTTTGCTAGATAGTGAGACCGGGCATGCCCGGCACAGAAGTTTTCCCTTTTGCAGTAGACACATCTGTACGTATTTGCGCATGAACGCTACAGGTCTTCATTCAAATAAGACTTAATACCTAATCTGTAGAAAATTTTTACCTCACTGTTTAAGGAACACGTGTTGTGGAAGCAATCGTCGCAACATCATCACAGTGATTTCAGGTTTGTGAAGGCTGCTAACAGGAAAAGAACTCACCAGGGTTGACACGCACATTGTTGTTGGATGCCATGGTAGCGTTCTCGGGTTCCGGTGGAGAACTCCCGTCAGCCTAAGACACACGAAGGTACACGACAACAAACTATAATAATCATGACGAGATTCGAGAAAATAAAAGGGCGTGCAACACAATTACTCAGCCGGCACGCTCTCTCCCACTGCGATTTTTCCGGCAACGAATGCAATAAATCCGATAGACGAGACAACGATAGAGAGAGAAAGAGGGTAGAAGAAAAGATATAGAAAAAAATATCTGGGGTTTTACGTCCAAAAACCACGGTATGATTACGAGAGACACCACACTAATACCCCTATCACAAGGGCACTCACGAACACCGTTTAGCTCATTCGTCCTTACGACAAGGGAGATGCGGTCCATGTCACACGGCAGCCCTTACGCAAACGAAGGAAAACGGAGCATTTCGCAAAGAACGCTCAACGATTTCCCTTTGCAGCTGAACGAGATGCTCTCGTTCCGAGTATTGGCAGGTCAGCAAAAAAATTCGAGTACTTACTTGCTGCAGTGACAACAATAAACACAATTTGGCAATATTAAACTTTCTTTTGTTGCAGTACTCGTTCATAACGCGTGTTTCTTTGGTGCGGTGTGGAGGGCATCGTCCATGCGTGCGGTTCTTGTCATTGCCGTGTTTGCGTGAGCCCGGAAGAGGAATGACTGACAGCGCTACATCATTGTCACCTGTTTCGACGACTGCAGGAATGGGTAATAGGACCAGACTTAATTCAAGGGTGACTTGGGATGACTCAGGAGGAAAGGAAACACAAGAACTTTGGTACACTGGCTACAAAAGAACTTTGGTACACTGGCTACAAAACCAACTAGTCACAGAGCACAGCGCAATTGTAAACATAGCGTTAGGCACAAGGTGGCCAGCGTCGCTGCCAACATTGCTACAATTAGCGAATAAGTTTCCATTTGAAATAATTTTTAATGATTTGTTGCCTTCAGGCGTACTTGATATTGTGTTTTCGTAAAAACCGCACAACGAGGATTCACAAAAAACACCTAGAGATGAAAGTGGAATACTACTGTGCAACTAAAACAGTGCCGGCTAAGCCCCCTCGCGGCAACTATTGCAACCTTGTCATTGCCGTGTGACACTGATACAACTCAATCTCCGTCGAACTACCTAACGGAGCTTTACATTGACGGAGTTTAACAGAGTTCGGTGGTGGCCGTGGGACAGGGGTATAAAAGGCTCCAGAAATTTTGACCGTCCGGTGTTCTTTAACGTGCACTGGCATCGCACAGGACACGGGACATTTCGCCTCCACCTTAATTCGACCACCACAGCCGGAATATTGTGTATCCCCGACCCCGTCCCTTGTTACCACGGATTATGGCAGGGGCTGCGCCTCTTAGCCGGAGAGGGACAATGGCAGAGCGAGCATTATGGCTGAAAATAAGATGCAGGTGTGCAAGTTTAGTCGGTGTCGCTGCGTCACCAGCACGTCACTTACAGAAGCGAACCGATAGCGCGCGAGCAATCCTGACGCTGGCACTGGCGTCCTCCTCCCACTGTTTTTCTTTTCTCCCTTTTCTCTTCCCCGCAGGCACTGCGCCGTGCTCCCGACCAGGTTGCAGAAATTAGGTGCCTTTTCTCATCTTCTAACTACTACCACCACCACCACCACTTTTTCTTTTGCCTCTTTAGTGCGATGCAGGACAAGCAATTCCAAATACGCGGCCGGAATCACACGGGCGAACTTGGAGTCAACAGCAGACACTGTCGCCACTGATCCAACGAGGCACACATTGAAAAGTCTTTGTAGTGCTTGTGCATGGTCGCTGGAATGTGGAAGAGTGCGCACACTTGGAACGGTGTTCCGAGAATGATTTCTGTAGGTTGGACAACATCCCTGCATGTATAAGCAAACTGACCAGCTTTTGCAAGTGTCCGCATCACTGTAGTTGACGGTATTATCCCGACGACATGATGTATATATATTTGCCTAGGTCAAATAAAAACATTTTTGTTTTCTTTTAATAAGCTTGCGCTGATTAAAGCAGTTGAGAGGTAGGTACGCAACTATAGCTTTTCATGTTTTTCATGGAATGGTTAGAACTGACAGCTAGCTTTCTTTATGGCATCATTTGCCAAAATATACTGCTGTCTAAAGTACATACGGTATTCTCTGCACCTATATTATAATTTACCAAGGCGTTATTACTTTGTCCAGAATAAATAGCAAATGATCCTTTATGTTTTTCCGAAGTAGATGCAAGAACCAATTTTTTCTCAAGTCAGCGCTCTTGTCGTACCCGTTGTAATTATGACAGGTATGACTCCATTGATAAAGAAGCAAGTCCATAAACTCTATAATGGGAGAGTGTTCTTCCTACGGGATGCTGTGATTTATTAAGCAATGCAACGATCGCTGGAAAATCAAAACATCAAAACCTTGACTTTTTATAACACTGTTCAAAAACGTACTTCGAGCAAAGTCTGCAGGTTTCCTTAAATGTCAGAAAGTTAAATTTGGAAAGAGTTAGTACCCCTGTCGCACTGAGGGTGTTGATGTCATCAAGTTCAAATGTTATTCTGAGAAACGAAAGTTATTCGATCTGTGGCATTTATACGCTGGAAAAAGTATAATGTCATTCATTCATCCGTGATGTTGACAATCCAGAAAAAAAAGATGGCCAGAAAAGTGCAGAAAATAAAATGTAAAATAATGAAAAAATGAAGTTATTTCTTTTAACAACAAGCGTAAGTCACTATGCTAAATAAATACGCATAGAAACTGATATCGCAGTATATATGGTCCCCAATGCCAAGAAGATCCACTTAGCCAGCGGCTGCAGCGGATAAAATGAACACAAGCAATGCGACGTGCGTGGCATGACGAGAAAAAAAGACGGTTAAAGAAACAAACGCGTCTACTTAGGTTTTCTAGAACGCAAAACTATACAAGGTGATGCACACGTGGTATAGTTTGCGGTGCCGCAAACTTAACAAAGACGCAGAGAATTTCGCATTTGCTCGCTTTAAAGCACGGTCTCGCATGCGTACATGCGTGCAAACAGCTTGCAACGGAACTGCAGTATAGCCTTTTATGAGAGAAAACGTCTCCGGCTAGGTTCATTACGCTCGTTTAGCTGATGCCATCACTGCAGATACACGTGCACATAGGCGTCTGCTTGTTTATATCATGGCCGACAGTGCCAGCGGCCAGGAGCCACTGAGGTGGTAGTGGTAGTAAATGTTTCATTCTGAAATATACCAGAGAGTTCCCATGTGCCTGAGTGGCAATCCCTAGTCCGGGACGCCATTGGAGATCGCCGCTGCCCAGGTGCGCGCTACTAAGGAGCGGTGTGGAGATTAAAGAAGAAATTTGGCGACAGCCTTCTGTACTCATGTCCTCGTTAAACCGACTTAAAAAGCAACATCAATAGTATACCCCAGGTGGTCGAAATTTCCGGAGCCCTCCGCTACGGCGTCTCTCATAATCAAATGGTGGTTTTGGGACGTTAACCCCCATATATCAATCAATCAACATAAATAGCGTGTTTTAATGAATGCAGGTCAAATTTATAAAGCTGAATGCCTCTTTTTAAACAGTGTCTGGGGTGGAGGATATACGGAACATTCGGTTCGACTGCGATGTAAAATGTGTTTCTCATGCTCATTCGATTACCTACGTCATTCGGTTCTAATGGCATTATATATATATATATATATATATATATATATATATATATATATATATCTGTAGTTGCATCGTAATGTAATTAAATGTGATTTTCATTTTATTTGAATGACATTAAAATGCCCAGTGTCATTTACAACAAATGACATTAGGCAGACATAACATAATTTTACCTGCGTACTGCCATCAAGGAGGATACATAAAACTTGCTGGAGTGGAAGCCGCCTATGCGCCGCTACGGGAGAGAGTGAAGCCGCGCTGAGCATGCGGCGGCCATGTTGCCAGTGGCAGAAAAGAGCCGAGCGCTGCAAATTTAATGCTTCATCGCGCTGCGGGTGAAGTGACTCGTGTGTTTATAAAGCAACGAAAACAAGTAATTCTGGTTGTAAATGTTTCATGCAACTTGTACGCAGCCAAGTGGCATGTAGAGAACTCAATTAAAGTGCATATGCATGAAATAGCGATGCCTAAAGCAAACACATAATCGAGAACATAGGTGCCCTACTGGTGGTTGAAAATTATTGCCCTTGTCAAAAGTGGTCCCACCTTACTTTTGACCGATTCTCTTTTTTTTTTTTTTTTCCTTCGTCATGTGTTGTATCCTCACTTTTACGTATTGTTCGGCAATTTGCCTGCACAAACTGTAAACCTGATTATCAAGCGTATCAAAGTCTAGGACGTGTTGCTCTAGTTTATGAAACCAGTTTTTCTCGGAGGAAGCTCATAGAACTTTCAGGATGAGGTGTCTTGCTCTTGACTTCACCGTTGTGATGGAATCACATTCAGCCTGTAGCCGCCTCAGTCCTGGACTTCTTTACAGGGGCTAATGACATCTCGCGACGGTACAACAATACCACCTCGCCTCTTACATTTAATTAAAGGTGTCAGCTCATCTGAGTGCATGGCTGCTATGCACTCTTCACAGGTAGTTACAGTTCGACCTTTCGAACAATGAAGCCTACTATGTATGGCACCACGGAACTGACAAAAGCAGAAAAGCTATCGGGCTAGTCAATGCGATGCGTTTTGTCGTGGTCATCGAGCTGCAGGACTGCGGCCTAGCGCATGTCAGTGAGATTGTTTCTTGGATGTACCATGGCTGCAGGAGTCGTTGCATTCAATACGGAGAGAACATCTTGGGAGCAGTGTCCAGAACTTGAAGACGTGACTACCGTCTGAACCAATAGACGCTTGTATGCAGCCATAAACTGCGAAGCTGTTGGGTTGTTGTTATGGCCACCTCATCTACGTATTGATTGAAAGAAGTTTTCAGCATAGTCTTGACTGAGTTTGTGTGTCAGTAAGTTACCGGCGGCCTCACCGGTAACCACCGCCGGGAACGCACTCCCTCACCAGAGAAGGATTGGCCACCCTGGTGCA